ATCATGCCTTGGATGAAGACATAGAGGGCATGCAAAGTGAATTTTCAGATGACTTGAAACTGGGAGACATGGCTAATATATTGGATAACAAAGCTAGGATCCAAAATGTTAACAAGTCAGAATGATGGAAGAATTGAATGGAATGAGATTTAACTTAATTGAGATAAGTGGAAAGTTCTGCACTTGGTCTAAAAAAATCCACTTTATCAGCTGGAGTGACTTTATGTGATGAGGAGACATCATAATAACAGCATTCACAGATTTAAAGTTTGCAAAGCACTTTATAAATATTACCTCATTTGTTCCTATCATGCCTCTTGGTTAACACAAAAAATGCTAAGTACAAACGTGGCCTTTTTCTCAATTGGCTTCAGAGACTTTAGAAGCATTATCCAGAGAGAAGCAGAGACAGAGGGAACTCCAGGTATTAATGAAGAAAGCCTTTGGAATGGCATGAATGTATGGAAGGTCAGGCCTATCTTGTCTTTGGACTTGCTCGAAATTCTAGAGACTTCTAAGAATAGATCTACTGTGAGTGAGATTGCTTGTTCATTCCTTATTTGAGTTGAAAACTTAACTCACTTCCAGATGAAAAGCTCATTTACTCTTATGTATTTTATGTCATCTTCTAATCAGACAAATTCTCTGATTTCTGTTTGCTGTTTAGCTTGGATAAATGGGTTTATTCACTATTTGCTATTCATTATAATCTTTTGTGTAACCAGCATTTTGGGGGAGAAGGAGCCGAGCTGAGGGATGTAAGCCTGGGATTACCCTCCCCCTTTAAAAATAATCAGGAAGCAACCATTCTGGAGAGCAATTTGGAACTATGCCCAAAGAGATATAGAACTGTGCCTACCCTTTGATCCAGCAATACCACTACTAGGGCTTTATCCCAGAGATATTTCAAAAAGGGAATAGGACCTCTTTGTACAAAAATATTTATAGCAGCTCTTTTTGTGGTGCCTAAGAATCAGAAATCAAGAGGATGCCCATCAACTGGGGAATGGCTAAACAAGCTGTGGTATATGATTGTGAGGGAATACTATTGTGCTATAAGAAATGACAAGCAGGATGATTTCAGAAAAATCTCGAAAGCCTTACATGAACTGATGCAAAGTGAAGTGAGTAGAACCAGGAGAACATTGTACACAGTAATAGCAACATTGTACAATGAAGAATTGTGAATGACTTAGCTATTCTCAGCAATACAATGATCCAAGACAATCCCAAAGGACTAATGATGAAGCATACTATCTGCCTCCAGAGAAAGAACTGAGGCTATGTGATACAGACTGAAGCATGTTATTGTCACTTTCATTCATTCTTTCTCTTTTTATTTGTCTTCTTCTACAAAATGACTAATATGGAAATGTTTTACATGATTGCACATGTATAAACTATATCAGATTTCATACCATCTCAGAGAAGGGGTAGGGGAGAGAGGCAGAGAGAGAGGGCTAAAATTTGAAACTCAAAACTTTTTTAAAAAATGTTTAAAAATTTGTTTTAACATGTAATTGAGTAAAAAAATTATATTAAACAAAATTCATCAGGAATACAGCTTTTGTTGTGAAGCTGTCATTCCCTAGACTACAACTATTTGGGAGAGTAACCCTAATGGTGCTACAGGGAATGACAAGGGGAGAGAGAGAAAGAGAGAGACAGACGGAGAGAGAGAGGGAGAGAGAGAGAGAGAGAGAGAGAGAGAGAGAGAGAGAGAGCAATCTTACTCAGAGGACCATTCTCAGAAGCTTCTAGAATTTCAGGTAAGTTCAAGGAAAGTATGGGGCTAGTTTCCCATGCATGTCTGTCATTCCAAAGTTTTTTTTTTCCCACTACCTCCCTGATGTCCTTTGTCTACATGTCTCTGAATAATCTCTCCAAAGTGTCTGCAGCCAAATGAAGTAAGCCCCTTACACAGTCATGTAACATCACACCCAGTATTTTTTCCACCAATCAGGAGTCACATACCCCTCCACATAAGCAGCATGCAGCACACAACTATCCCTCCTGCACTTTTCTTACTCCCATTGCAAGCTTCCTCCACCTGGGTAGGAGCCAGGTCACAGTTACTATGACTGGAGTGTGCACCAAGATCTAATGAGGGATGAGGAACCCCAATACAAGAAGTGCTGGAGAGAGGATTCTGAGCTCTCAGTATCTCTTAGAAGTTTATAGCTAATGCTGGAAGTCTCTTCTGGCTAAGAGCCTATACTTAGGTTTCAGAAAAGAAAAAGCTAAGAAAGGTCCATGCTGAGACCTGCCTCAATCACAAGTGCCCTTTCAATGAAACATCTCCACTTGAGGTTTTAAATGAGGTAGAGAAAGGTCTGATGTAAGGAAGAGGGAGGACTGTTTAATACAGCCCCTCTCAGTAGGATGAACACCATCAGTCTTTGCTGATAGCTGTGTCAGTGTGTACTCATGTCCTTTTCTCTCTCCCTACTCTCTTACGCCTGCCCCACTCCATCTCCCTTAAAGTGTCCCCCAAGCCTTATCCCTCAGAGTCATGAGTCCCATCCACAGAGCCTCTAACCCCAGTCAGGAAGGGAGGAACAGAGTAGTTCTCTTTCAGTTGTAAGGAAGGACTGGTGGATCCTGAGCTTCCTGGAGTGGGGGAGAAAGTTGCAGATGGAAGAACAAGCTTTGAGGAAGCTGTCTGGGGAAACCCGCCGATCCTACCTTGGAAGGGCAGGATGTTCCAGCCAATAGGGAGTAGAGGAATGTGTAGCATCATCTGTCTCCAGCAGATGGAGTCTAGCAGTAGGTCTAGTCTAGTGGATTAGAGAAATCATCAGTGCAGAAAGAAGGTATTTGGGGTAGTTGATTAGGGGAAAGAGAGAGACAGGCAAAGAGACAGACAAAGACAGAGACACACAGAGAGAGAGAATGCTTGGATAAATGAAAAGCAGAGACCTTGGGATCTGAGAGGGACCTGGAGCATTGGTGAATCAACAGTTCCATATGGGTGTAAAACAAAGTCTAGACTAGAGACAGAGCAAGATGGGGAAAACTGGGGACAAGATATCTGTATTTCTCTGGCAAGCTCCTAGGACAGGATGTAACATGGCCAGCTCCTTGTTGGCTGACTAGACGCCTGTACTGCTGGCTGAGAAAATGGGAAGTATAAGAAAGATGAGTCCATACTCAGGCCTGCTCAGTCATGGGAGGGAACTGGGTCCACGGCCTAGCTTCAAGCCCAGCATCAACATCAGAATCAGCATCCAGTATTTATGAGGTGATGGTGTTCAGTGACTCAGTGAGTCAATGTCACTTATCACTATGGTGACTAAGGATTGAGGGTGAAGATGAATACATTCTGACCTGAGTTTAGCCTTGAAGACAGAAAAAGAAGTCCCATCCATATCCAGACCATGAGATCATTCTATCTCAGTGACAAAACTGGGGAGTCTCATGCCCATTGCAAGCTTCACCAGAGACCTGATGGTCTTAGTAGCTTCTAATGCACCTTGAGTCCCAGCCATCTTCTTCCAATTTCTCTTCTCTTATCTCATCCCCTTTATATTTCCTCTATACCTATATAGAACCCTTGTCTCTCCATAACTTCATGTTCCTCCCAGAACCAGCCCCTGTTTTCCAGGCCCCCAGCTCTCTTTCCACCATGGCTCCCCAACCATTCATTCCAGACACCGTGCCTTTCTCCTGCCATAGCTATCTCCTGAAGATCTCATGGTCTAATTCACTCTACTTTCAATGTTTAATTCATTGAACAAGTATTTATTATGTACCTACTATGTGCAAAGCCCAGCATTAGTGATTAGATATACAAAGATTAGGGAAAAAAAAGCAAATAGTCCCTGCTTTCAAGAAGGTTACAGTATACCAGGGGGATATAGTGTGTAGT